CCACCTGCTGAGGTAGAAGGAAAAGATGGGCTTGTCCACTTTCTTCTGGGATATCAGGCTGTCGAAAACAGGGGCGCCAGCCTCTTCAGCCAGGCTGGGGTAGCCTAGGCCCAGAACACCGTCAAACCGTCCCAGGACGAAGGCAAAGCCGGGTTCATACACGGACTCCCCAAACTGCTGGTTCTTCACAGATATGCCCCCAACCTGCAGCAAACATCAACATTACAAAGCTCACCCAAGGAGACGGAGTGGATGTGCTCTTTCATTCTGATGGTCCTTAAGCCAGCAGGCAAACCTCAAAAAAGGTTCCACAGATATACTGAGAAAGGAGATGTGGAAAATCTTTCCTCTTGGGTCGACTGTTATTGGGCCAGATTAGAGAGTTCGTCGTCTCTGCAGTACCGACCTTCCTCCTGACCTTTAGTCGACATTCACACAGAACAGGATGTACTGGCCAGTTCTGCTTTATCAGAGACCCTTAGTTTGCTACGATGGTCCAGAGATGGTCAAGGGTTTCCTAGGTGTATGGTACCTGTAGGACATCTTTTGCCATGACTCCTAACAGGTGCCCAGAGCCGTAATGGATGGAAAACACTCTGCCGTCATGCTGGTAGGAGCTCGACTCGAAGGCCTTGAACCGGTGATGCGTACCTGCAGGGGAACCCAACATTAGCCCTGAGTCCGGACAAGTAGAGACATTTAACAATGCTCACCACTTGTATGTAGCCATTCCTAGGCTGAATCAAATCAAAATATATTTATAAAATGGACAGCAAACACCAGTAGGTGCAGCCGATGAAATGAGTTTTCATCTTGAGTGCTTCTTATAATAAATAATAGAATTATATAAAGAAAATAGATGTTAGAAGTAGTACAAATATTTAAAAAATCATAACATTAAAATAAAATGAAAATGTGCAAATTGTCCATACTGATAGCCTGATCAGCTGTTTAGTATCCCCACTGCCTGAGGGCAGAATTAAGAATCTGCTCAGTCGCTGTTATCCAAAGAGTTATGATTAGCAGAAGTCTGCCGGGCTTACCGCAGGCCTGGCTCACACAGTACGACGACGGCACCCAGAGGTCCGCGGAGCCGGTGTCAAACACCACGGTGAAATTCTGTCCTGGGCTGCCCAGGCTGATTTCCCCATAGTACTGGGCCTTCAATGTGTAGCATACCAGCCATCAAAGAACAAAGTACACATCAATTAATCAAAAAGCAAGCAGCCAGAGGTGGAAAGATCAGGTCCAGAAAGCACAAGTCCAGTCCAAGGTTTTGTTTCAACCAACTAGTTGAGTATAAAGAACCACAGAGTACTCAAATGGTTGGTTGAAACAAAACCTTGGTCTGGATTTATGCTTTCTGGACCTGAACTTTCAACCTCTGCAAGCAGCAGTACACAAAAGTGCAATGAAAACTGCAGATTCAAGATTCACACAGCTTCATAAGTGCGGTGTCTACACAACGAAATTCTTGGCTCGTTTTAATGGTTTACTCCTCCGGGTGAGGAGTTAAAAAAAGAGAGAAAACAGAAAACAATATCACAGTAGATAAGGTTATAAAATCGACATATTTGCCATATATGAAAATATTAAAATAAAGAAAAAATAAAAATACTATGCAAGAGACCTTGGGATGTGGTACAGAGTAGTTTAAAGCAGGTGTAAGCAAAGTAATATTGCACAGATACTAACAGCAATACTGAAGCCAACCTGCACTTACGTCCATGAAGTTGTAGAGCTTCTCGACGCCGTGGTGCGGCCGGGGGCTGTGACCCTGGGGGAAGCAGTGGGCGTACTTGCGGGCAAAGATGTCGGCCCGGTGCTCTTGCAGGAAGGCCACCAGTTTCTTGGCAGCACGCAGCTCGGCACGCAGAGTTGTAAAGCGTCTGAGCGGGACCCTGGGACGAAGCCGAGACTTATTGCACGACGTGGGCTGCACACGATTACCTTCATCTGGCAGACATTTATGTCCAACATGACGTACGACTGAGACCAATAGCACATTACAAACATGCTGAGCTTCCAGTGAATGGCCAGGTACAATTGTAAGCAATATTTGAGCAAAAGCTACACACCAGCATCTAACAAAGCAATAACCTAATAACTATTCAATGACCAGAAGTAAAGAACATAAGAACATTACGAGTCTAGGGTTTGGTTTCAACATCAGCAGGGACCAAATCATTTCTGAACCCCCTGTTCCCCCCTAAACACACACAGTACTCCCACAATAGTGGTAGTGACATGTCCCTAATATCTATACCCAAATCTACACCCTTGCTCGGGGAACATATTGACGCCTCACATAATAAGCCGACTGAATCCATTAGTTAGTCTCCAGGTCTACTGTGGTTTCACTGTAAATACCGGAGCTTATTACTTCAAGTAGGCTACTTATAAAATGTGAACAGAAATAATAGAAACGGATGAACAAATACTGACTCCAGTACCTTTTAGACCCGTGGGTGACATTTTCCTTATTTGGTTTTGTGTCTGTCTGTCTATACAAACACAATTCAAAGAAAGCTACCACTAAAAGTTACACGTAATATCAGCGCACATGAAGAGAGTATATTAAGCTTTAAGTACAAGGCAGCCTAAATCGAGAAACAAAGACAACTCTGTCCACCACGATGATGTGAAACACTGTAAAAGGAAGTGATATCGATGACAGTTTGGAGCCCGTCACACAACCAATCAGAGGCGAACGGGTCAGCTAAATGGAGATCTCACCTAATCGCCCCATGGGCCACCAACGCGAGGCACAGTAAGGCTGTGATTGTCCTCTTCATGTTGTGGGTCTGTCTGCCTGGCTGGGTGCTTCTCCACCTGCCTGTATACCAGCTTGTCCTTAGCATGGTTGGGGGCTGGGCTGGGATCCACGTCCAGGTCAGGCTGCTCCTTTGATGGGGGCAACTGCAAACTGCACATCAACTGAAGGGCTTAACTCCTTGTGGGCAATAGTGTGTGTTTTGGGGGGGGGGGAGGTAATGATAATAGATAATGTAAATCTAAACTCATACCAATTTTCATTAAAGGAATTAAAAAAAAAATTCAAAAATTCCAAATCAACCAGTACATTGACTTCATGCTATGATATTTCTGACCAATGCTAAAAATGAACTTTCTCATTATCTCGCCCCACTTTGGAGCGTCACAAAGCAAACTAGGAGAGGTCACTGCGCCCTACCGGTGCCCAACAAAGCAAATACCTTATCAGGCCATTAACGGAAAAAAAAAGCTGTTTTTTTAATTTAGTATAAAACTTCAACCGTTCAATTTTAAACCTTCAGGATGGATTGTTTGCTGTCCTCCAGGATGGTAAAGTTGAAACTTCAACAGTTATCTATAGGTAAATGCATTAAAAAAATGAAGAACCAACCCTGAAACTTTCCTTTAATAAGTCAACAAGTTTGTGTGTTTCTAAAATCCTGAACAGGGCAATTACTGTTTAAATGCACTATTTAAAACACCACTACAGCTGTACAGCTATAACTAAATGATGCCTTTGAATGAGGCAGTGAGTATTCCGACTACTTTTGTGGTGACCCCAGCTGAAGAGTCTCATTTGTTAAACACAATTTTTATATTGTTGATATGGTCTGGAGCTTACAGCAAGGACACATTAGAATAACATTAGAATAACAGCTCTCCAGTACCCAGATCTGCAGCGGTTTTAACAAAAACAAGGCAAGAGCTCATTTTAACAGGGACAGCCTTCAAAACCTTGGATTATTATTAACCTTGGACTGCCTCTAATGACCATTTTTCTATCGATGGATCTATCAACTATTTTACTGATTGGTCAATTAATCTAAGCTACTAATTTCCTCCATTTAAGTTAATTTTATTTTGACAAACTGTATGTCATTACGGGGCTTTAGATAACAGATGCCAGCTTTTCAGCTTTATACGGAGCTTAGTTACGCCCACAATTCGATAAGCAGATTAGTAATGCGCTAAAAATACTGAGTGTATTGTGATGGCCAAAAAAGTTAGTCATCTGTATACATTCAGTATATCTTTATGTTTATTAAATTCAGATAGTGGAGCACAGCAGATGCTACTGTTTGGTAAATCATGGAGGCGATAAGCACTGAAGTCACGGTGAAGAGGAGGACAGCTCAGCAGCCACATCTTTTAAAGTCTGCCATGTTTTTTTGGTAGTTTTCATTTTTATTTCAGTTCATTTTAAAAAAAAAATTATTTCATGTCCATTTTCATTTCAGTTTTAGTTTACAGTAACGACTCTGGTTGGTCCCAACAAGGCCAACGCACATGAACACACACCGGTATTGTCAATCAACTCAGAGTAAGCCCATATTTTAGCCTAAACATTTTCTCAAACACGTATTCAATGGAAATCCTAAGGTAGCAGCCAGACAACTGTATGGCTTCAATAATTGGTGTATTTAGCCGTTCAAAATGACAAAAGACATTAAAAACCTTCCATACTAATATCAATTTAACAAACACGAAAAGGCAACACTTATGGTGGTTTTGCCTATTCAGATGCTCATGAGTTGGGCTATCATTGCGGTATGGCTATCGTTGCAGTATGCCATTGACATCGTTTTAAAATATTGATGCTGGAGCATTTTCAGCATTGATGTCATTGACTACATTGACCAATCATGGAAGCTCTAATGCTGTCACAGATTTAACCAGTTTGTCATTAGTTATTCCAACTGGGTTAAACCCTGTGCTACCGCCCTATGCATGACGACACGGCCACAGGACTGCGGTATATTTCTGGTATTGTAAACATGGTACTGAAATAAGGCTCAGGTAACAGCAGCAAGGGGAAGACAATTAGTTATTGCAAATCATACACTTTCCCCCCCCCCCATTTTAAAAATGCCATTTAATTAAACATAATTAGAAACGTAGAAATTTTGATGACCCAGAGAGCAAAAAAAAAAATGGCTGTAGAGTGATTTTGGTTCTGGTTATTATTCTTATTAATAATAATAAATGCAAAAAATACAAGAACCAGGCAATTTTTCCATTCATATTTCATTCCAAAATCAAATCATCATTTTCCTCCAAACTGGTGTGGTCTGGGGGTATTTCCAGCCGTTTTAGATTTACACACAAAACACCGGACAGCCCTGATAAGAGCAAGATGAGAAGCATTCAGTAAAATTTCACTTTCATTACTGGTCAAAAATAATATTCCATAATTTACACAATTCCTATAATCAGTAGGAAAATCTTTAATGTTCAAAAAAAATATACACATATGAAAACCAAATGAAAACGTGCAGCATCATATTTTATCATTTCATATTTATTATGAATTTTTAATGAGGAGAATAAAATGCATCATAATGAGCAAACAGTTTTGTAAAGTTACAATCCTTTAGTAAAAAATAACTTACTGCCAGCTTGCAAGCAACGGGCATGAAAATATGCCGCCTAATTAAAGTACTTCAAGTACAACCAGCTGAGCTCCAAATGTAGCAGAACTACTACATTCTGAACTTGTAAAATCTGACAAAATTTCAAACTTCAAAACTGCAGAGTATTCAGATACTGAAATTTGAGATAACGGAAAACGACGGGTCAGCCATCACTGATTCGTGCCATGTGACCGACAAAGCCCCCCTTCTTCAACCTCAGCTTTGGCCCGACACGACCGAACATTAGCGTTCGATTCACTGGTAAATGGTAGCAGATTCCCATAGGAAGGAAAATGACAATGGATGAAGTTCCTGGACCATCTCCCTTGGCTAAATACACAGTACATACATAATAATTCATCCAAGTTTAAGGAGTCGCGACTGTTCATCTTCTGGAAAACCCACCATGAGTTGTTCCCCAGCTGCCCTGGGGGAGGCGCTCTTCATGGTGTGACTGCAGCTCCGGGTGAGTCACACGGGCAGCTCATTACTGTTATGCCGCGTCTTCCTTGAAGCCCCATCCTCTCGCGGCATCGCTTTCTGAAGGTTGGACATGGCCACCGTTCGCTCCACGTCGATGACGGCGTAAAGTTCTGTGCGGCGGGTCGCCGGTGGCGCCAGGGGTGGGGTGGGGGTGCAGGGAGTGTGGGGGCTGCTGGAGCCTGAGCCCCTCTCCATCTCCAGCTCGATGTAGTGGAGCTGCCGGTGAGGGTCCAAGCCGGGCCAGTGGAGATCGAATCTGAACATGGAGGGAGGGGAACGATCGGGTCCACGCCATGGGTGTGGCCTCAGGGCACTCTCTGTGTTGACATAGCAGCGCGATGGGTCCGTCTGGGGGGCCGTGGGGTGACCATTGAGGCACGTCGTCTTTGGTGGTTCTTCTGAGCAAGGCTTACGGCGTACCCAGACCGGTGCCGGAGAAGGGGATGGTTCTGAGCTCGGAGCAATCCACTTGCTGCCAGCGTCATCAGAGACGGGGCCAAGCAAATGGCTGCCTTGAGTCGGAGGGACTGTCCCTTTCTGGTGATCCTCTGAAGACCCAGGAGATCCTGAGAACTGCTTCAGCTTATCACTGTCCGATTCATCTGCTGGACCACCGCCAGGCTGAATATTCCTTCCCTGGTTCACTTCTGCAGAGTTCGGTTGCTTTTTCTTGGCCATCTGCTGCCTCTGGACAGGTGTGGGCCCAAGCGTGAACTTCACCCCGCTGTGGTCCAGGAGCACCTGGGGCTCTGGGTCAGACATCCTGAGCTCCACCGGCGGGTGGAGGCCACTAGCCTCACAATCCTCTTGCTGAACCACTGTGGTATTCACATACGTGTGGACCTGGGGAAGTGTGGATCACCAAAGCTATCGCTTAGCATGTCATTTTTATAATTTTACAATAATCACCACTAGATGGCTCTGTTAAGTATTGAGCATCATTACCAGAAACACAAATCATTTACTCAACAAGTTAACTGTACCCTAACAGCTCAGTTAATACTAAATAATGCTGGTCAAAGTCTAGCATACTCACATTGAGATGACCAATGAAAACTGTTCTGCCTTAAAATTTGTTCAACCGTCCTCAAAATATTTTTTGAGAACTAGACGCTATTAACAAAGCTCTGGGGACCTACCATCTCGTCAGTGACCAGCAGAGGGTGTGTGGACTCTGTCCCCACGGACGGCAACCGGGCAGATGAGTGTCGGCTGGATGGACGCGACGCATCTCCTTCCAACGATGGGCACAGTGGAGCCCCACTGGCCTCCAAAGGCAGAAGGTAGCCTGAAGCAGAGAGAAAGGAATGGGGATCACCAGCGAGCAGAAGTCCTCCTGCCTTCTCACCTGATCCAGGAACTGTCCATCAGGCCATGATGGCATAAGGAGCACAGACAATGTGTTGAGAGTGTAACTGTTACTGCTGAGTGTGTCAGGAAGGAGGCTCCTCGACTTACGATGAGGTTACATTCTGATGGAAATAGTGTGTCAGATATGAATACGGTGAGACACATTTGGGCATTTAGTAGACGTGACGGGCTTGAGAAAAATAGTTTAAACATAGGAAAGAAAAAAAAAAAGTGTGTGATACATTGTTAAGCACTGTATGAGACGCACTGTATGAGACGCACTGTATGAGACGCACTGTATGAGACGCACTGTATGAGACGCACTGTATGAGACGCACTGTATGAGACGTTAACGCTGGCGATCGTTACAGACACTGCAGATGTGGCTGGGTGGTTGCTGCCATCGCCCGGCATCAGTAGAAAGTATCGTACGACATATCGCTGATCCGGGAGCAGATCAAGATTCAAAGTTTGATGACGCCTGAATGTGTATCGCTATCACACCATTGCAAAACTGAAATATCGTACAATGAGAAGCATCTGGATAGTAATTGCACTGGTGTTTATACTAGTTTTAGAGTAGAGAGTTGTAGTGCAAAGGAGTATAAATTCATACAAGCATGAGCAGTGAAGTGTACCCCGGTCTTACTTGTGGGTAGAGGCATAGGCCCCGCCTCCTCCTGCACCGCCTCCTCCTGCACCGCCTCCTCCTGCACCGCCTCCTCCACCACGCTGATCCGGTTGTTGTGCATGATGTCCTGAAGCATGTTGAAGATCTCCTCCGCCCGCACGCACTTAAAGGCGAATATGCCTGCAAGCACAAAGCCACAAGGCCATAACCACACAGCGACCTACTGATGAAAGCGGCGCAGTCTCCAAACCCACAGAGACCACCACACATTTTTGCTCGCAGCAGACCTGAACATACCGAGACCACCAAATTCCTGGTGTAGCTACTTGTGGACTGTCAGGAGGTGCCCCAAGGTTGAGAAACACTGGTTTAGCCCACTCACCACTGTGTTACATCAATCCGTGATAAGCAGCCATCATGGCTTTCAAATCCATTATTCACTTCAGCTCGGTACTGTAAGGAGCACTGTCTGAATCTTTAAGAGAGGTCCACGAGAACCACCTCTTCCATTTGAAATGTGCCAGATTTCGGTTTGACACAGATGTGTGCGAGCTCCTGAACGGCACCTTGGCCCGTCTGACAGTGGCGGCCGCTCTCGAAGGAGAAGAGGTTGGAGTCGTATCCATAGCGACGCAGGCACAGGTAGGGCCACCGGACCGTGTAACGTCTGCGCGTGTGCAGCACCAGCTCCCCTTCGGTCAGCTCCATGACGCCCGACCCCAGCTCGTTACCATCGTCGTCCACGTTGACGACCTGCGGAGATGGGGAAGCGCACGGCATGAGACGCGGCACCAAAACCCCCCCAGCACAGCGGCTAACACGCTACTTACACAAACCTCTTCTATACATAAAGCCTTCCACATTCATGACTCCTCAAATGCATACATTGAATACATCAACGTTAATATTACACAGATGTTCTGAAATGGGGGGGGTACCTTAAACTTGTTCTGATGGTTATCTGGGACTGGATCTTTGTCTCTACAGCTACAGCCGCTTCCCATGCTTCTTCAGAAGACCATTAGACTTCTGGAAAAATAAGAATCGCATCAAGGGAGAGATTAATAAATTACTGAAATGCAAAAAGCGAGGCCTCATGAGTCATCGGGACACAAAGCAGCACTTCGCCCAGGTGACCCACCTACTTCCAGCCATCGGCGTCCCTGGTTCCCTCTCCAGCTCCCGGACTTTCATAACATCATGGTGACACGCTGACTGCTCCTCGCAGGTCTGCTGAGAAAGGGGAGAGGTTCAGGCCTCGATGGCCCAGCACTTTGGGGACTGCGGAGCACATCGACGTCACCCAGAATCTGAAAGACACGCGACGACAGAGATGCAGAAAAATCGGACTGGGCTGCAAATTTAAACGACCCGAGGTCTGTGTGGTTCACAGCAGGTGGATCGATGTCCACCAAGCGATGCAAAGAACGATAACAGCTGACAGACTATCCACATGTAGCACACATCAGTCAAGAAAATGCACTACTGAGGGGATTACACTCCCAACAGTAAGTCTCAAGCAAAAAAAATCAATTAAGTTCACTGTGGATTTTTGGTGAAGTGCAGGGGTGTCACTAGGGCTGCTTTAGGGGCAAAATTAGCCTCTAATAAGTGAATTCAGACTAATTAGCTTAATTAGCACGTTTCATTATCTTTTCATTAAGACAAACCCCAGAGTAAAAACTTAGCCCCCTTTTTCATAAATCTTTAGTGACACTCCTGTCGACACGGCAAAATGAGTAAACACGACTGGACAGTCAAAACTAATGGAATTAAGGTATAAAGTCTATTTCAAGGGAGCTTCAAGTGGAATTCAAAGCTATTAATTTCCTGCCGGTATTGAAAGATCTGGCCTCCAAAACCATTAATACCCACGACCGAAGATGCTCTCCCCACTGGCCGATACAGGTCTCATAATTATGCACCTAATCTCCCTCGCCGCAATTTCAACCTCAGTCATAACCCTGTTAACGGGTGTAACGAAAACTGGTAAATGCGCAATTACAGGGCGATATTTTATTCCAGTTTTAAAACTTTACAGCTTTAGCCAGTCGTCCGCTGTTATGGCCAGTTATCAGTGAGGATATTTTGTTGGTTTAGAGCCATGACTCCAAATGTGTAAATCAATACCTATATCCTGACGTTTAACATTTAAAAATGCAGAAAACCAAAACGTCTCACCTTAAACTCACCTTGATGGGGGGAAAAACTGTAACACAGAGATTTAAAAGGCGTGGAGGTGTCTGCAGAGCGTTTATCCATTAATGCATTTACACGTTCTTGTATTTGTGTGTTTCCTACAAAGTGTGTTAACTTAATGCGTATGAACTAGTGACGGAGTTTGTTTTGGGACGATTCGCATTTCTCTGCGAAGATACAGTAACGCTAGAATACCTGCCATCCACTTATCGGTTTCGTACGAATTTTTTGATAAACACCTTTCGATCTCTAAGAACCGATAGGCTATATGACGTAGGGAAGATATAAAGTTAGTGCGCACCCGCTGAAACGCTTTGCCTTGTTAACCAGCTGAACACAAGGCGCTGCTGATCGTCATGAAAATAACAGGGACGCAAACAAACGAAATTCCTATCCAATTACTTACAGTTCAGTTATTTTTGAAAGTAACAGAATCCTGCCACTGGCGCCTTGCCTTTAATTGCACAAGTACTTTCCACATGACTAAAAAAAAAAAGACAGAAAACGATGCAAGAAAAAAATGGGGGAAAAAAAAAATCACACTTTTTGTTACAAATAGTCACACTATGTTTTCATTAAACGGCAAAAAGCCCCCCCTTACATTATCAAACTATGGGCTTAGTAAACATCACACCTCAATGTACCATTCATGCACAACAATCAATAAATAATAAATACTTACTGAAGAACCGCAAAAGCGGCGTAAAAGAATCGCGCGGTAGCACGCAGACTCCCGGGCTGATTAAATCCCTCTGCCTGGTGACCAAACTCTGAAAAAACACGCCAAACTCTGAGGGATTTTACACAACCAAAATACACGGACTAGGGATTCCTCTGGCCTTCTTAGTCTGACTATTGTGGCATTAAAGTGCACCAAAATACTTGTAAAAGAAAGGAAAAAACAAGCAGGAGGCGAGCCAGCGGTGCCCCGCTGCTGCAGCGGCCAGATCGCACGGTGCCCCCCAGCAGCGGGCCTCCCTCCGCCAGCAGGCGCAGCCCGGCAATCGCATCCGGGTCGTGCTGTATTTGAGAAGTTTGGGCTGTTACTGTTTGCCTAGATATTCTGATAAAACGTCGTGGCATTATTAATCCATCACGTGTAAGACGTGCAATTGTATTTGGAATCGGTTTAACCAAAACAAATCGGGGTAGGCATTAGAAAATAAACGCAAGTTGATTAACAAACGTAAAGTTTCTACTGCCCTTTTCCCGTGTGCCATTTGGAGGAAATAAAGAGTTATATATATTTTTCGGGTCAGGCTTTTTATATTCTTTATTGTAGACTGGGATATGTTACAAGAACCGAAAAATAATACGACGATATCTTTTTTTAAGGCTTGTATTTCTGTGTCATAGCAGACAAATACAGTTCGCATCGGCGTTAACTACTAAATCAGAACTCGCAGATCCTATGTCCTAGAGCCACCGATTAACCTTTCACTTCTGAAAGCCAATGAGAATAACAACAATGATTTTCTAGGGCGTGAACGATATTTAACGACTTATCAAAAAACATCCCAAACGTCTAGCAGGCTATTATAACACACGTTATGTAAAATGACAACCTATGGCAGCAGATGTCTCTCAGCATTAAAATTATTTAGCTTTTGTTATTGTCAGAAATGTCATTAAACACAACTCAATTATTTTTTCCTTCAAGTTGTTCAAGAATTATATGTCTACAGGTAATTGGCTTATTAAGTCTATGTAATATTTGCGGAATCTAGTGTTTGCAGACCACCATCACTGTGTAGATAAAGGTTTGCAGCTACGAAGAAAGATGGGAAGCTAGATTTATTCATTAGATGCTTTTTATCCAAAACTTTCTCCCCAGTGAATCGTTTTTTTATTTGAGGTTCATACACTTCATATTTCTCTCATTCTGGGGCGGTTCCTTTATGTTTAATCAAACTGCAATTACAAAAAGTTTTTCTTTTTAAGATACAATATATCGTATTAATCCCGAGGGGAGATTTACTTTTATGTAATTCATTATATATTTTTAAAATGTATAGTTCTGGTACATATTTTACATTTCATTGTGTTTGATACTTAAAGTCTATATTCCATAGACGTCGGTACACGCAACTTACTGTATCACACCGCTGGATGGCGAAAGTGATCTTGTTCGTTTGCTCAAAATAATTGTTTGTGTAGGGGAAAAAACGGTATGGAAGGACGCGTTTTGCTACGGCGCTTTTTTCCCGAGCAATGTTGTGAAGCACGCACAGAACACAATTTGGTGGGAAAAACGTTACTTTATTAATGGGTTTTTATAGCCCACACAGTACTTCAGGACTGCAACACTACAAAAGGTAACATGATTACTTGGGAAGGAAAGTAGTTAAAACTCTCCCAAGTAAAGTTTTTAAAGTTCGTCGAAACGCAGTCAGTCTTCCAAATTCTGAACCACTACTAAAATTTATTTAATTAGGCTTAAGGACTAAAATTCACTTGTGATTAAGATTCTTTACATAAATCTTAAACCAGAAAACCGAAGTGATTTCCATGCTTCATATTATGGAGATTAAATTTACATAACATGCAAATAGCAGCCGATTAATGTGCAGCTATCAGGCTTGATTTGAACCCTGCACAACATGATTAGATAAACTTTTGGGTTCGACTTATCTGGATGGTAGCAACCAACTGGGCCTCATTTTCAGAGGGGCTGCGGTGGGACTTACCTCTCGCCGGTCTGGACGTTCTGGGGAGCCTGAAAGAGCAAAGGAGTCGCAACTCTGGCATTACAGCTTCGCATCACTTACGTGGTTAGCCGAGTGATGCTTTGGAGGAGACGTTACGGAGTAACAAATCGTGGTCCTGGGGGCTTCAGAAAATATTTGTGAAATGTATGTAATATGTCCAGAAGCCCTCAAACAAAGGATAAAAACAATCGTTTTGATTAGATAAAAAAAAAATGTATCAGTATGAATTTTTAAAGCTCAAACTCACTTACCTGGGCGCCACTGTCAAAAAACTGGAAAAAAATAAAGTGACTCAATCAACATGTACTGGAACACCTGTACAAACTGCAACAAACAAGAGCATTCAGTCTTATGCAAACAGACCACAAGTGACTTCCTTTGCCATTTCCTGCAAACTTCATTTTAAATATTAGCAGCTTGAGACTTAGCCTACAAGTGAGCTTTGCAGCCTTTATCCTTTAAAAACTTTAAACATATTTTCAGAGGAATAATGTGCACAGCCATACTCAGATTTGCATAGTGATGAAATTCAGCAGTTTGTAGACCAAACAATCAATCAATCCATTCAGAAACAAACATACTTTACAGTAAAGGCGGTAAGAACCTATGGCAGATTTTATACAGGAACCAAATGCAGAGTGGATGAATTAAGACAGTTCCTCAAACACAGCATTTTCTCTGACCCCATGAGAGCAAAGCACCAAGCTTCCAGGACCGTGGGTCCAGAAGCCCAATGAAAACTGTTTCTACCTCACAACCATCCTAAACAGGGAGACAGGAAGTCACTTTGACACAGGGACCCAAAAAGACTTGGTGCAGAGTCCTCGTGCATCACGTACAACTACTAAGACCTTTAAACCAATCACATGGTAATTCCAGGGCACACAGTGGAAAAAGTTTAGACAATTTCTCAGTGAAACTGTTCTTAGAAAAAAAAATTACAGCAGAGGTAACCTAAATCCATTCTCATTTTCTGTACGTTGTGACATTTTTACATGGCACCGAAACCACATCAGTGGTAAGTCTACCATGAAAACACAGCATGCATAAATGATACATTAATCACTGCCCACATACAGTTCATTTGATTACCGTATCGGTTTTGCCTCCGATCAACTGTAAAAGCAGGCTCTGCTGTTCAATGAGCGGAGAGGACATGTATGAAATTAATCTAGCTAAGAAATAAACCAAAATGTACAATTTATGGCTCAGCTCAAACGTCATCAGCAATTACGGAGACAATGATTCTGAACATGCATGCATGCATAGACACACACACGCATGTCTATAAGATTTGTTCCAACAAACATAAAAGTGTGGAAAAAAAGACTGAGAACAAACAAAATCAAATACAATGTGCCCATCCAATCACAAAGCATTTCACTGGAATATCAAAACGCCAGACCGACACGGAGTGCCATCCTCATTTTTACAAAGCCACTTTAAAACATATTTAAAACGAAATTTTCTTTACCCACATTACTGTGAAAAAATACTTTATTTAAAAAAAACTGCTGGAGGCTCAAACCAAGCAATCAGTGGGATGCATTTCAATTCATTGACATCTACATTTAATGCAAATGAAAAGACGACCAAGCCGGTTGCAGGATGCAAAGAAACTGGGAGAAATATGGATTATTCGGTCCCAGCAAACAGTTTATTACAACACTAAGTCTATCGTAAAAAGCCATGACATTACAGACATTACCTGAAGGAAAAAAAAACAAAACAAAAACACAAAACCTGTAAAAAGAGTAAGACAATTATCTACAGAAAATTAAACATCTGTTAAAAAGGTTTTTTGTGTACAGAGTAGGTATCTTATTTTGGAAATCAGTAACATTCAATCACACAGGTTTTTTTCTTTTAATAATATACCAAATAAACTCAGAAAGCATTGTAAAAATAAATCGATCAGGTTGATCACAATTGCAGGTTTTGCTTTCCGAGCTGATCTGTTGATCCGTCCGTCATAGCTGTGGACGTGGAGGCCGGTCCCTCCAAGGCGGAGAAGAGATGGCCGGCGACGATCCGTCCCCAAACGACCATGGTGACACTGCAGTCCCTGATCTTCCCTCCAACTGTAAGATGTCAAAATGAAGGATGGAGTTTGGTTGGTGCAGCCCAGCGCTCGACAAAGTGCTCGCCACTCACAGCAGAAACACGCAATTTTGAAGGATTTTGAAGGTTACGTTTAGAGGGATTTTAGGATATATAGATACAAGACACTGAGAGTCACTAAATTACAATTCTAAGATTGACATCAAAGCAGTCTGTAGCTCTCCTAACCACACCGATGGAACGACCAAATCGGGGCCGACTCACGGAACACGAAAAGCCCAGATAAACACACAGACCTCCCCCAAAACCACAAGAAATATCACCAGATATCAGCCTTTGAGGAAGCTGCTATGTAGTTAGGGACCCCTGACCCCTGTCACCAAAACCTGTGCATGAGCAGTTTATACAAGACTGCCACCAAGTACAGCACCCCCTGCTGGGCTTATGGCAACGTAAAGTCATAATCAGTGTAAAAAGACAAAGGCCAACAGACACCAACATGGCAAAAGAAAAAGCAAATAAAAAAATGTCACTATCCAGGAGTGATCTATTTTATAGATTTTGCATTCATAAAAATTGGCAAAGTTAGCATTAAACATGTTTCAGGTAAATCAAGAGAGAAGCCGTTGGTGTCAGAAAAACTTTCCAGAAAGTTCCAACTCCACATTTCCTGAAAGAATATTTCAGTTTGGAATAAAATTTAATACCCTTCCTAAAGTTTATTCCACTTTTATGCAAAAACATAATTGTGTCCAAGGTACATCCACTAAGGGCAAGATTAGCCAATTACAGAACCTGGTGACACAGAATCACAATTTTAATTTTAGGTTGGCCAGCAGACAAGACAAAAAAAAAGAATTTCATGGGAAAACATTCATACTGATAACATCTGTAAATTCACAGGCCCACAAAAAAACATAAAAACCCCAGGAGCCAAACACCCTCCCAGACCAGGTAGATAAAGCCCACAATGGTTAACATGTAAGTAACAGGCGAACAGTCCCACTGAGTTCCAGTACAGAATCCTCAAGCACCCCACAGCACGCATTGCCTGTGCTTCTCTGTGAGGCTACTTGGAAGCTTCTGTCTCACGTCACACACCATATCTGGACATCCACACTCGTAAGAGCCTGAGGTCTGGGATCGATGTCACTTCAACTCCATTTAATCCAACATGGTTGATAAAAACGTGGAATCGGAAACCTGCTAACACTATTTTGAGGCTGCACGTTTCACATTACGACTGTTCTCATTTAAAAAATTTACATCTTTAAAACCAGAAAAATACTTTTAGTTCTATTCAAAATTTTTTATTTTATTATAAACAAAAATATTGTCAGAGTAAACCAAAGCCTCAATTGAAAGACACCTCCGAAATGTTACTTATTGCCAGTTGTCCACGTTCCCCATCTACAGGTCAAAGTTGAACATGACTGCACACAGCAAGAACCAACAAGCCAAAAGCAAGCAAGCGAAGCAAATATGTCAAAATACAGCAAATTAGCCACGAGGTTGCAGTTTGCTTTCGGAACAGAAAGGGAATCTGGTTAGTGAGATGTACCAGTGAGTACCAGAGATTACGGACAACGCAAAATCTTTTCATGTAGAACAGGAACTTTAGAGTTCTATAAACATTACCTAAAAGATTACGCTTACCAACCCCTGCTTTCACTGGTATACATTTTACATTATATATACACACATCACTTCATGGAAATCTTTCCAAAATCAGTCCCAGAAAGTACCAGGATATTTACAAACACAAAAAGCAATCAAATCTTGCCTTGCCTAACTTATAACTTCAAACTAACTTGTGCGACAAATGCTTTCTACACATTAAAACTATGCAATTGATATCTTGTTATGGAGGACTTAATTCTTAAGTTAAATTCTCATGAATTTACAAAATTTGGGACAATTTTAAAAACATTTCAAGAATAAGTCACATCTTTTTCACTAACCAAAAAGTCCAGAAGTTTCATTGAAAGATGAACCCCCTACCCCCAAATCCAACTTATATAAACAATTCATATACACTTTAAACAGGGTCTACAAAGTTTTGAGGAAAAACCATAGCTGAGACAAGCACATGTGACGGTTACCATTAGTACCACTGAGGGTGGCAAGAAAACAAAGCAGTATAGATGTAGGTTAGAATTTCCGGGAAATTAACTTAGCAAAGGGGAGGGAAAAAAATTAGATGCTACAAACATTCAATTCAGTTGTACAATTCTGGGATCCACTGATCTTTTTTTGCAAAAAATAAAAGACGACTTCATGATAATTTACATTTTATCTCGTCAGAAAGTGACTGAGTGCATGTGCATGGTGTTAATCTTTGGAAAAAATCCATAAACAAAACCAGGGTGTGCAGCAGTTAGTGTCCCAAGTGTCTGAAATCAAAACCATTAAAACACATTCATAGGCCAATTATTTCAATAATCTGGAGTTCTAAAGGTCAGCTACTTCATAGCAGGGATGGGAACAAGTCATTTCTTGGCAAGTCTTAGTCAAGTCATCTGCCCTCAAGTCCAAATCAAGTCTAAGTCTTTCTGTCATTTTTGCTGTCAAGTCACCAAATTTGTGACTCGAGTCCAAGTCGAGTTGAGTCAGGTAACTTGAATCTGTCAGTTTTTTTTTTTTACCTTTAGTGATTTAAACTTACTGCAGCAAAAACCAGTCACAGTAGGTCATAGGATATGTTCTTTATAGGCAGAGAGGTGAAAATAGTGTCCAGTCACAGTTGTCCTCTTACAGTTTTTACATCCGTGTATAAGTAGGAGTGATGCATCTTTCCAACAAACTTTCTCAGGAGACTTTGCATTCAGCCAATTGAAAATGCAGACAATTAATATACACACAAATTATAAAATTAACCTCAGGTCTTCAACTCATAGGGTCCAAGTCGGGTCCAAATCTCGAGTGATTTGCCCTCAAGTTCAAGTCTTTTCATCAGTTTTGTCGAGTCGAGTCATAAGTCAGTGACTCGAGTCCCTACCTCTATGTATTAAAGTGCTTTGCCTTCAAGCTGCTATAAACAGCACTAACCCCGAGTCACTGGTCACTCCTAAGTTGGCTAAACAAACCCTCTCTTAATTATTATACTATCAATGAGCGAAACAAGTCCTGGGCAACCTTAATCTCTCAGGTATATAGGTGTCACTAACTACTGCTAGTACATTTAGTTTGTATACTACATAATATCAAGTTAAGCATTCATATGCAGTTATTGCATTTGGGACATTCATAAAATGCTGCCACCTGGAAATGTATTGTAACGAAAGCCAGAGACACCATGCTCTGTGTTCACTGTAAGAGAGGGGCAGATAGTCAACTTAGGGGCCTACAGCTAGGGACTTAATGTACATGTACAGCGAATACAGTGCTGCAGTGACAGCAGCGATACCTTTACACACGTACAGCGAATACAGTGCTGCAGTGACAGCAGCGATACCTTTACACACGTACAGCGAATACAGTGCTGCAGTGACAGCAGCGATACCTTTACACACGTACAGCGAATACAGTGCTGCAGTGACAGCAGCGAAACCTTTACAGATAAACACACTAGTTCACACAGAAAAACATCCAAGATATTTGGAGTTTTGCAGACTGCGAAAGTGTGACCATTTGTTCTCACCTATACTGTTAATGGTAGAGGTTACTGAGATTGCAAGACGGAACTCGTCACACTGGTAGAAATGCAACTTTTCACATTTTACGGATTATGATTTAGAATACAATAATCTTTCGGTGAACCTCTCCAGATTAATGGGGGGAAAAAACCATTTGGTGACCAAAGTATCCATAAGTTTACAGAACAGAAGAGAATAAACGTACGAGACAGAACAATGTTAGCCACAAGCCTGACAAGCAGGAAAATAGCTGGTCTGGACCAAATCTTTTGGTGTGAACCTTACAGCAACACAAAGGTAACCTAAGTAACTACAATAAAAACTATTTTTGGCTGAACAAGTTTCTGCCTTGACTTGAGTGGTTTTGTAGGTGTTTACAGCTGAGTCACCACCTGAAAACGTTTCCATTGTCAAATTTCACACTGAAAAATCGGTCCGAAGGCTTACCCTGTACGGTCAGTACCTACCTCAATCCACCAGAGGCAGCACCAGGGAGCAAGAAAAGGAGGCATAGGGGGGCCAGGCGGCGTACGTACCTTCGTTAACGGTGGCGGTACTCCCTCTCGCGGTCTCTGTCCCTCTCGCGGTCCCGGTCCCGGTCCCGGTGTCTCTCACGATCGCGACTGCGCTCACGGTAGTAATCCTCGTGCCGCTCTCGGCTCCGCGACTTGTGCCGGCGGCTCTTCTCCCGTGAGCGGCTGTGGTCCCTCTCCCTAGACCTCTCCCGTCTTCTGAGGGAAGGCAAACACACCCTGGAATTCTGCACGCGCACACACTCTGCTAATACGACATGCTAACAGGCCAGTTATCTACCACTCAGTCGTAGTCACCCACTCCTCTGCAATATTTTTACATCACACTGTGCGTCACACTGCACTCATACGTATTTGTTATAATTGTAATTATGATTATCTTGTAAGTAAGTAGAGCATTCTGCCTACTGGAAGTTGCTTTGGACAAGAGTCAGATAAATGAACAAAATGTAAACAAGTAAATACTTGTGCTAAATTTGCATTTTGCTGTGGCCGGAACGGGATTTTCGTTGCATAGTGGAACTGACTGTTTACTAAAGTATATGAGAAACTCAGGAATCATGAATCTGAAGGCTAAGGAATGACCCCGTCCCACTAAAGACTCGGGGGATTGGGAGGTTCCTGGAACACTTTGCGGGTGGGTTCTACACAGCGAGATGGAGGATCTATGCAGATGGGTTTTACCTAGAAGCAGAACCATAGGACTTGGACTCGATGCCGTGCAAGCAGTCCTGCAGGGAGCTGATGAGCACTTTGCAGCGATCGTCTGCCGACACCTTGGACTGCTTGATGAGGGAGATGGCCGTGACCAGCGTCTCGATGGCGCTGCCGTAATCAGCTGGAGGAAGAACAGAGAGCAATCGACCACGATACGGCGATTTCCAGACACCGGGACTCCATGCGGGCCATCGCGGCCAATACCTGCGCTGGCGTCCGATACCGCCCTGGAGATCGCGCTGCTGGAGATGGCCCGGTTGCGGTTCATGATCTCCTCAAACTCGGCGTCGCTCAGGGGAGCTCGAGCTGTGTCCATCTCCCTGGTTGTAAGGGGAAAAAAATGGAGATGATGAGGATGGAGATGCAGAAAGGCAGCAGCAGAAGACTGAGTCACAGCGAAGGACCACGTGAAAAACATCACCAATATGTCATATGTGGGACATTCTTGCTCAATTCTCTGGCACTAATTATCTGCTTAAAAGGACTGGACAGCTGGACACACATATGAACCCACAGCCACAGGCCTCACACCAGAAAAAATACAGAATTACATTCCAGAAGACTCTTGATTACTCAAGCAAAAAGCGAGCAAGACAAACGGCTTTGTTCCACTAACACCTTTATATGAGGTCTCTGGAAAAATTCTGAGATACTCAAACATACCTCAACCACTGTCTTCAGACAGTGCAACACAGATAACGCCAAATGTTCATAGACCCTCAGTCAACAAGAGTCATGGTGAAGCCCAAAATGCCCTAAAGCTGGGACCAAGGTGGTCTCTGTGAACTGTGTTCTCTCAGGGCTTGAGGACCTGCCCCACTCTTCAAAACAAGACTGAAAGCTCACCTATTTAACAAGCACAACCCCCAAAATGACTGTCTTCTATCTAGCATACATACACCAAGCGATATGCACACTAACCCTAACCCCTAACCCTAACCCTAACGTGACGCTTTCAGGCGTCTCTCCGTCAGCGCATATTATCGAGTCCGGACGTAAATGCGATCAGACGTGACTCCATCAGGCGTAACTCAACATGAGACTGTATTTAGCCGTTACCGTTCAGAAAATACAAGATTTGCCCGAAACAGGAAGGATTTGCACGTCACCAGCTGTACCACCAAAGAGACAGGAAATGAAAGGATCGAGGGGAAACTAGAGGAAATGGACGCTGTGCTGTGCAGCTCTTCGGAATTCGAGCTGTTGATTATTTAACGCGAGACGACGTTACCTGCCACCGGGGCCGAAGTCTCCTCTGTCGTATGGTGGGGGGCGGCCATAGGGGTCATTAGGGGGGGGCCCGCGATTGTCAGATGACGGCATGGCACCGTTTCCGGGTGGAGGGAAGAATGCCGGGTTCACGTGAGGGGCTGGGGGGGGGCCGCCGGGGGGAGGACCACCCATGTGTGGTGGGGGGGCCAGCCCGAGGGGTGGGCCGATGGGGCCAGGGGGCCGTGGAGGGTAGGGTCCTGGGGGAGGCGGGCCCTGCTGTGGAGGGGGGGGACCTGGAGGTGGCCCATAGCCGGGGACAGGAGGTGGGGGGCCTGGAGGAAGAGGACCTAAAGGGGGCTGGCCAAACTGGCCCGGGAACAGGACTGGGGGCATGGGGCGGTCGCCCCGGTTTGGGGGGCCAGACACAGGAGGTGGGAGGCCCTGTCCAGGAAGTGGGGGCCCAGGAGGCCCAGGAGGCCCCGGGGGGCCACTTGGGGGCCGCGGGGGACCCGGCAGACCTGGGGACACACACACAAATATCATAGCAACAATAACAACAGGAATTACAATTTGACTTGTGCAACCACAGGCAGGCTTTAGAAACATTTAGGGAGTTATTCCTCGTCACTGTCACGTCTGGCTCACGCACTGGGGGCTATGGGTGGGGATAATGTAAAGTGCGTTCACACATTGTAACATTGTAAAAATGCGCAGTTCAAAAACAGATTGATCGAATTGACTGAATATTCAAGGTCTCAGCACAAAACCCTGCAATGCCATTGGCCAATTCAAAAGACACACGTAAACCATATTTCTCACTACTTACACATTATTCGGATCAGCTATTGAAATACCACAGCTACACACTAACTACAAAAAACGGGAAACTTTTTTTTTTTTTTGCTCAGAACAACGTCCATCATATTTCTGCTTTTCCTCAGAGAGACCTAGACCTCTCTGGAATTTTAGAACGTGATAGGCAAAGTTAGTCAAGGATCATGACACCCAAATTTCCTCAAAGTGGAAAAAGTAACTAAGCAGCTGCTTTTCAGTCCAGATATCAGCAAAAATGGGAATTAAAGGAAGCAAAAACAACAACAAAAAACAAAAACTGAGCTGAGTCTCAATAGCAGAATCTACAAAATTCAGGCACCGATCACAGCAATTTCTACAATGTACCAGCAATTTTCTGTTAAGGCTCAACATTCCAAAGCACTCCCTATTTATGATGTTTTTACCCTTTATTTATAAGCGGACATATAGATCAAGTATATATCCTCTGAATGGGCAAATTACATCCAGGAATAAACTAGGGTTAGTGAAAATTCATGGTTGCGATGCTGTGTTTAGATGCATTTAAACTGACATACTACTCTATGGGAATAGTAAACACTAAAAGTATTTCAACAACACAAAGCTGCACTTACAATTTCAAAAGTAATTTTCAATATTTAGTTTCAAATGTATAATTAGGGCTGGGCGATATCATAACGATATTACATCGCACATGTGCATTAATCACCAGGGCTTCATGTGACAGGCGCAACATTTGGCCGGACGCCTGCTTTTCGGTGCTAAATGGTCATTTATTTACACCCACAATTTGTTAAGCAGTTTAGTAGTATGGCTAAAATACTAATGAGGCTTTGTATGATGTCCATATGATGATATATGTATGATTAGTATAAATACGGCATATCCTTATGTTTAATAAATGTGTCAGACTCTGAACTGCAGAAAGTACCACCACACCGCCGACGTCATTTTACATTGTTTATCCACAAGATCTCCTCTCTTAAAAGATGTCCTGGCTGCTCTTCTTCACCGCGACTTCAGTGCATATTGTACTGAGGTATACTGTACCAAACTGTAGTATACTAAACCGTAGTATACTAAACCTTAGTATACCAAAACAGTATTATGTGGTCTGCTCCGCTAATCGAATTTAAAGTTTATACAGATTACTAACTTCTGGGTATCACAAAACACATCTCATTATTATTTAAGCCATACTACTAACCCTCTTACCAAATTATGGGCATAAATAAATGTCCGTATAGCACCGAAAACCTGGCGTCCGGCCAAATGTTGCGCCTGTCATCTGAAGCCCTGGTGATTATTGCACATGCGCGATATAATATCGATATGATATCGCTCAGCCCTATTTATAATACAATAAAATGATTTCAACAATTGGCCCTTTTCCTCTCTTAGACATGCATATATGAATAGTGATTGGCTGGTTTACTTCTGCTACATCAGTAGTTTCTGGTATTAACAGCACCGATTTAATGTCCATTCGCAAATACGAAGGTAAAAAAATGTGTTTTCTGACCAATGCGTGCAATTATGAGCAAATTTTGTATGTTATAAGGTAATGAATTATTATCCTGTTTTTCTATGGCAAAAATATTACAATTAAAAACATCTTTGAAGCATGATGTGCAAAATGTCACTAAAAATATCTACTTCATGAAGGATAAAGGAAACTACGGAAGTACTGAAGACTGACCGTGAGCACAGTCGCAGTCACAACTAGGCTACTGTGATGTTCATTTAGTGACCATTTCGCTTAACGGCCCAGTTATTGAAGGCGAAGCGATTAGTCATTGTTGACACACCACGGCACACAGTGCACAACAACAAAATCTGTCCTCAGCATTTAACCCATATGTGACATTGTGACAGAAGGGGGCAGCCAATTAAAGTTATTAATTGAAATTAATTGGAAGGGAACTCTGTCGCCTAACAAGGAGTGTTGTAGCAGTAGGCAGAACTAACTGTTACCTAAATGCAGGTATTAGCCACATTTACCACTGAGAAACCAGCTCACATGAAACTCCCACCATCATGGGTGTGGCTTACCTGGGAAATGGAGAGGGGGGCCCCCATGTCCGATGGGCCCTGGAAAGCGGTCTCCAGGGGGCCCGGCGGGGCCGGGGAAGCGTCCCCTGCCACGACCCAGGGGGAACCCACCGCGTGGTCCGCCACCTGGGGGACCCGCCTTGCCCTCTCCGGACATCTGTCCCGACTGCGTGCCTGTACATAAGTAGGGAGGAGCGAAGGTACCAGCATGAGCACCCAGCTGGCCAGTAGAGCGACCACATGGACTGGCAGACGGATGGGAGGTCGGTTTTGACACCACTGGCCGAGCTGGAAGGGTCAAGGGAAGGGCGGGACATACTTTTTCTGGACTGCATCTCGAACTGGCTGAGCGACTGCTTGTTGCATGGCGTGACCAGGGGGTTCTGGCCGTGAAGCTCCCGTTTGGGGAGGAGCTCCAGCAGCTTCCTGGAGGAGGCCTCAGAGCCCACGCAGACTAGGGCAAACCTGGGGGACAGAGAGAGGAACATGAGGTACCTGGACAACCTGCCCCCTGACAGCACTGTTAAGCCAGCACTCATACTACAGAGAACCAAAACAAGCAGAGGCGCTGATTATCAGGAATCATCCACTGCCGAATCCCAAATCCACGGCGACCACAAGCTTAACGGCAAAGGAAGGGAACCGGGCGAGGAGGCGGCCTCACCCTTTTGACTGGCCGTTCGCACGGTTTTCAAAGAACTTGATCTCCAGCACGTCATTCACGCCCAACGAGCGAATTCCTTCAGTCAGATCCTCATCTGTCGTCCACTTTGGCAGGAAGGAACAGAAGGAAAGTACAGAAAGTAGACAATGAGACCCGCGTAAACAAATGCAAGTCGGCACCTGCCTGTTGGCAAAGGCGAGGTGGACACTCACCCAGGTCAGGTTGCCAATGTATAGGGCGACGCGCTTCCCAGTGTAGGTGTAGACCACATTGGATGGAGCCCCTTTGCCTCCATCGCCACCTACAGGTGGGGGGAGGCTGTCCATGTAGTCTCGGTCTTCTGGGGCATCGCCGTTGTTGGCGGAGGGTGAGATGACATCATCGTACAGGTCTATCTGCTCATGGACGTTGTAGTCGGACTCCTGTAGAGGAATATTTGACTTAGGCAGACTGCCTCACTCCACAGACACATTTCTCGAGAGAAATCATAAAAAAAAAATACATCATGCTTGCAGATATTTCAGAACTTCTCGAATCACAACACTACAGGCTGTATTACCATATTAAACATCACAAAGAAAAAAAGCAAAATAATCCCATGTTGTATTTATAGAATGGAGTAGCTGTGGTTAGGTCCAATTGAATTTAAGAGGGAAAGGAGGCGGGTTTGCGATGCGATTCAAGTCTAGTTCACCATCACAACCCTGCTAAAGTCAGCCAAACTCAAGCAACTACGATCTGGCAGGACAGCGCCTTCAGACGGTCAGGAAAACGAATTTACAAGCCTTGTATTTGAGGCTATGCAGCGTGGCTTGTTTTGGGCTTCACGGGCATGGTATACGCATAGACGCGTTTGGTAAGTGGATTTTGCAAATGACAATAATAAAATAATGACGCTTAGGCCTCGAGGGGTACGATGGCACAGGCTTTGCCGCCACTTATATGAAACTTGCACCGCAGGCTGCGGCAGAAATGTCATCTCAAAAATGGGCGCAGACCTGGTAACACGGAAAGAGCGGCCGATCGGCTCGATCTTCAGGTGGTTACACTGTAGCATATAACACCGAGTATAAAACACTGCGACGAGGTCCCAAGCAAAAATGCAACAACAACAATAATAGTTTTAAAAACGGTTAACCACAGAGTGAGGAAATAGATGCACGTCGTTCTATACGCAAAATCACAGCTTTGCGGGCACATTTCACGAAATCGGCGCCCGCTGGTTTACCTGGTTAAACTCCTCTTCCACATCGGCGTAGATGTCGATATGGTCTACGCCGTCCGCCATTTTCCATTCAGCCTCCTCCTCCTTCTGACGGAAGCAGAAAAAAACCGCAAAGAGGAATGGGACATGCGTCACTTCCGGATACGCAGGCGCGCTATTCACTGCCGTAACGTGTAAGTGGATTTCCACTTTACAGAACTCTATTTTTTTTTTGTAAATTGTGTTGATTTTGACTACACTTATATATATTTTACTGGGCTGATGATAGCTAAGTCGTCAAAGTATAAATTATTTTATTCGATAGAGTTAATTACTTTGAAATTTCATCTGTCAAACAATAACATAGTATCATATAAAATTATTACTAGTATAGATAGATCGATACTTAATTGATATAATTAATTGTGGTGAATGAAGCAGACTCACACACCATTTACATGTATGGGCAATTTGGAAGGAAGACAGGAATGATATGGAAGTGATCGAATAACACGGCTGAGCGGGTAAAGCCAGGAATGCACTGGGCATCTGGAATATTTGTCGTGCCGCCCACCATAGCGAATCTTATCGTAGGTATGCGTGTGGTGTGCCTATATGGGTAAATGTCCAGAGCTGATTTTTAATCCCAGTCCAGTCCTGGGTACAGATATGGTATGACGTACTTAGGAAAAGTACATCGGAATGACCAGGACACGATGAATCCATTGTCCCTTAATTGATACTTTCTATTTCACACATTCTGTCCAACAATTTGATCACTACAGGTGACCTAGCTAGTATCCATTGCAGCATTATAGCACAAATGTGGGCAACAGTTAAATTACCGAATTTAGTGCAACGTCATTTCCAATAATGCATGGTATGATTTTTTTCCCATTTGTCCCCTCCCCTAGATACGTAAGAGTACAACGCATTTGCAAAGAATCCATAAAGGAGTGACGCTCACTGTCGCACCTTCGGTTAATTCATTTGCTGAGAATCTCGACAGTAAGATATAAGGGGAATATTTCCCGCTTTAGCTCACACTTTTTAACCATCACTGCTTGCAANCTTCGGTTAATTCATTTGCTGAGAATCTCGACAGTAAGATATAAGGGGAATATTTCCCGCTTTAGCTCACACTTTTTAACCATCACTGCTTGCAACATAAGACTTCTTTTGGTACTTCTTTGAGTGTCTATACGTGTCGCCGAACAGTCGGAAATCTTTCAACGCCTAAGACGGTAATATTGTATGTAATAATAGACAAATTCAAATGTATGGAGACTGGGGACAATTGATGTTATTTTATTTTTTTTCAATTTCATTATACCAAAATGACAACGAAAAATGTTACAAAGTAAACTTTAAAAAGTAAACTACTTTTTTAAATATCAGTGGTGTTTAGAGGAATCTAAGTAGGCCTAACGCATGAAGATTAAGCTACTCTATCCTTTCAAACAGTTAACTGACTCCGTTCAACAGTCGACCCCTGCAGTCTCCCCAACTTGCATTTATAAAAATACCGGAATGTTTATACTTAATGTCTTGACGTTTAAAATTCGGCGAGGGTACCGGTGGTCTTTGCGATCACGGGGATTCTAGAATGTTCTAACTAGCAGTGCTTCTCGATACCAAAAACGCGAAGATCGTTATGGTGGTCTGTAACTATAAAAAACTGTAACTAACTATAAAACAGTGGTTATCATCACGGTTCAAATCAGGGGGAACTGAATGTTCATTTTTTTAATAAACAAATTTGTCCGTCATGTATGTCTTACCCAATCTTAGTTCAGGATTCAGATTTTGGTACCACTTACAGTAAGACTACCCTTTAAAAGGGTTTACGAATGGTTTATAATCAGGTTATTAATTAGGTTGTAACACTTTGACAAACAAGTTATAACAGATTTTTTTTTGTAATGACATTGTTTCCGCTGGTAACATTTCTCCGCTGCGCCAAAATCTTTGCCGCCAATTTCAAAAATAAATAAATAAAAAATCTGTCCAGTCACCTAATCCAACGCCTAGGTGACTCACGCGGGAAGCCCGATTCCTGCCTGCATCCCCGGACATGCATTACGGAATTCAGTTGGAAAACTTCACTATAGAATGTATTGCGTTGCCATTTAGCAGGCGCTCTTACAGTATAAAGATCTAATAAAATGAGTTTACTTAAGGATTTACTGAAGGAAAAAAAACAGACAAGGTTTTTGTTTACCTCCATAGACATGCCATCAATAAAGATTAAAAAACATGAATCACTGCCAACATTTCTGTGTATTGCAGACACGTGCAGATGGGGTGGGGGGGGCGGAGGGGGCTTGAGCACCTGACCCTTTCCTCTTGGGTACCCCAAGTGCCCTTTTCTTGAGGCATTTTATTATATTTTTTAATGTGTGTGTGCGTGTGGAGTCCCGCCTGTGTCCCTCAATAATAACATTTAACTATTAATCACAATTTTGCTAAATAAAATGATCTGGTTTGCATCAGTCACATAATGACCATTAACTAAAGCTCACCCTTGACAGCAGAGCGCGCTGGTTACGAGCCGGGAACGAGCTCACAAAGAGTACGCGCATTTTTTTGCCGGCTGGGCGGTGCGGAGCTGTAGGGGAAACACACAAATTAATTGGGAGACGCAGACT